AACATTGGGAAAAAGTTCCTGTCAGGGTGGTTAAACACTGGAATAAATTCCCTAGGGAGGTTGTGGAATCTCCATCTCTGGAGATATTTAAGAGTAGGTTAGATAAATGTCTATCAGGGATGGTCTAGACAGTATTTGGTCCTGCCATGAGGGCAGGGGACTGGACTCTATGACCTCTCGAGGTCCCTTCCAGTCCTAGACTCTATGAATCTATGGGAGCTGTGATCTGTCGAACCTGCGGAGGTGGCAGGTAAACAAACCGGCCTGGCCCGCCAAGGGCTTTCCCTGAACAAGCGGCGGACCGGCTTTGAAAACCACAGTCCTAAACTGATCCACACTTTGAGCACCAGTCCAGTTTTGTGAGGAACCGGTGATACTTCTGAAAAAACACATGCCTTGAAGTGTCTGTGTCAACCGCCCCCTCCCCCCCCGAGTGTCATTAAACAAGTGGGGAAAGAAGGGTGCCGCTTTGCTGGATATGACTTTGAATTTAGATTCATTTAATAATTGAGGCACTCGTTATAAAGCACAAGGAGGAAAAGCTCAAGGTGTGTAAGTACCTACAAGCTTTTGATTTGAAGGCAAATGCACAAAAGAGGAAAAAATCTATTTCTAAGCTGGAACTTGCCCCAAATCGTTAATTTGCAATCTTTTTCAAAAGCTAACCTTCAAAAAATAGTGTATCAAATTCCATTTTTGTAATAATTTGTTGATTCTTAGGAGGTAAATCTGCAGTGCCCAGTCTCTTATATGTGTGCAGGTGTTAACATTTGCACATGCAAAACCTATGGGTCCAATAGTGGTTTTTTTTAAGTTACTGGCAAATTTAGTGCACTATCCAATACATACATACAGAGAGAAATCTACATCTAAATGTTAGATTGCGTCTGTCTCCATTCTCTCCCAGGTTTTACATCAGCGTAACTCCACAGGCTTTAATGGAGTTTCTCTTGACTTTGAAGGGAGAGAAGAATCAACCTAGCAGTGAAAGCTTTTTTTCTATCTAGTTTGGTACATAACAATGTTGCCTATCTCAAAGTATAAAAGCATGTTTTTTTGATGACCCTTGACAGTTTGTGTAGGTGCTGCTTGTGACATCGAGTAGGAAGATTTTTGTAGGAACTGTCATCGTTACAGTATGAACGACAACAGTCCCTGCTGTTTATAAACAAACAGCATAATAGCCAGAACCCATTAATCCCCAAACAGATCTTGGAGAGCTGGATTTGAGCGTCAATTTAATCTCGCTTTAATTATTTTAATCACATCTCAATTTCAGGGTTTTCTTTTATGGGTCACATTATATGATCATTCATTTTCTTGTGGTTCTTAATAAAAAAAAGGGGGACACATGGTCAGAATATAATGAAGGTTAGGGAAGCATCCCACAGAATAAAGGGTCAGGTTTGTAATCGTATGTATGTGAAACAGGTTGTACACATGACCAGCATGATTAGATAAAGTTCTGCAGGCAGCCTGGTGAATGTGCGCGCACAT